TGCACCTGTGACTAAACGACATATTGTATGTAAAGATGGGTTTTCCCTCCCCCCCCCCTTTTTTTTCTCTCTCCATCCTCCCCCTTTCCCATTGTTGTCTATGTAACAAAAAAAATAAAAATAATTATAAAAAAAAAAAAAAACAATAAGCCCTCCCCTGATAATAAGGCCCAAGCCATCTCTTGTGTGTAAAAAGGGAATAAGATGTAAAGTACCCTAACGATGCCTGCTTCATAATAAGCAACCCCCGATATTATAATACAAAAAGCAGTGATTTATTAACAGCTTCATTGGACAGTCTTCTTTAGGCATTTCTTATTCACAGCCATCTTTTTTGCTTTCTTTATCTGCTTTTAAACTTTGCCCGTGTTTCTTCCCTCTCTTCAGTCTTTGCCAATAAATCACATTATCCAAAAGCTTCATTCATCCCAACCCAGCTACTGTAATCTGAGATCCGGCTCTGCCGATGCTCTGCGTGGAATGTCAACACAGAGAGTTGACATAAGACCTTGTCTTATTTTCGGGGAAACACGATATTCTATTCGATCCTGAATTCAATTCTATTCTGTTCTGTTGAAGGAACTCCTTGGAAAATTAGCATTGAAACGTTTCAAACCAGCAAGGAAAGAAGTCCAGTTGCCGTGACTCAACTTCCAGACAACTTCACCTGCAGGATGACTGAGACAATTGTCCATGGACAATTGTTCAGACAATGTTTTTCTATGAATGGGAAAGTTTGAAGAAGCAGGAGAGAAACAACGTTGGCCCTTTTGAAATCTGTGCCTTAAAAGGCTCTTGAGAATACGACAAACAGCTAGAAAAACAAAAAAACTGGACCACAGAAGAAATCTAGTTCCCACTTGAGGCACAAATAATCAAACGATCACATCCTGGCCACAAAACGGGAAGACTTGGCTGCCCTAAGAGGTCCAGGATGCTGGGAAAGATGGAAGGAGAGAGAACAAGAGCATCCTCATAAGGTGGGCCCCACTCAGCCACAGGAGCCACGGAAGCTCCCCTGAGGAGGGCGGGTCACCCCAGAGAGAGTTGGTTACGTGCGGCCACCAAGAGGCAACAGCAAATGGGGGTTGTAGTTGCTATTATTCTCTGGAAAGGGAGGGGCAGTTTGCCTCCTAGCTCCATGTACAGTTCTTATTGTACCACTGTTTATGTATTTCTGCATTCTTTGTACACGGCATGAATAAAAACAGTAAAAATTCCTATCTGGATTTTATTTTTCTGGTTGGAGAGAATGAAACTGACTCGGCTCCCCCTACTGGTGGATGGATGGGCTGCAGGTGTGATGAGAACGGGAGAGTCTATTGGACAAATGATCCAAATCTGGCTTGACTCCAGTGCTGCAATTGCCAATAACAGCTTCCTGCCTCAGAGGTGGCATGCATCTCTCTCTCCACCCCTTTGGTTCTGAAGGAGTCCTTTGGCAAAGCCTCCATAACGAATGAGGGATCCCCAGATACACCCCCCCCCCACGGTTGGTCTGGAATGGGCTTCACTTTGCTGACCCGCATCCAGCCTTGCTTGGTAGAGCTAATG